GTACATACTCTTTTTGTGAAAAATGGCCTTTTTACCAAATTTCTAAGTGTTTGTAAAAATAAAGTTGATCTGATACTGATCACTGTTTGGTCCCAAGAAGACACCAACTGACAAAGCACAGGAGCCTGAGGAGGGAAACATAAGGAAAGGTTTGAGAAATGCCACATGGAAGTGTTGCACTCACTTGATCTGGTCCTCAGAGCCATCCTTGTACCTCATGGGGTAGAACCTCTCCAGTACCTGGTCCACCTGGGACTTCTGGGAAGGGCTGGACTGGCCTCCGCTGGTGTGGTCACCAAACTCAATCTGGTCAGGAGGAAGGGATTTACTCAATATTTACTCAATAAATGTTTTAACCTTTCAGTGTCATTCTTTATGATCCCTATATCTGACATAAGTACCTAATACCAGCCCAGAAGAGAACAAGAAATAGCCACGCATTCAAGTACCAGAGTTATCAACCAAGGATTGAGGTGTTCAAGAATTCATTCTTTCCTAGAACTATCGCAGAGTGGAACTCACTGTCACCAAGTACAGTTGGGGCATTGTCAATAGATAGCTTTAAACAATGTCTAGAGCTAGAAGTTCAAGGGTTAGGTGTAACAAGTCGATCGGTGTAATATAGCCAGCTGCCGCCGCGCCGCGTGCCTGTGAAGCTGGTGTGTTACGCCGAAAGGCGGTTATACCGGCTATACAGATACAGATACAGATACAGATACATATTATGAAATGTTACACACCTTCATAAATGAGGTTTCAAAAAGATGCAAACAGCTGTCAAACAACTACATACACAAAGCCCAACAGTCTGTGCTATACCTGAGCCATAAGAGCAGCCATCTCCAAGGCCAGCTCTTTGTTGAGGGGAAATCTTCCATTCACCACCTCCTCGTTCACCTGGTATGTCAGCAGTAACCGCTCCTTCTCTGTCTCTGACTTCACCATGCTCTTCAGGTATAGTCTGGATAAAAGCAATACAGCACATACAATTTACATCTGTGGGTCATCAGAAGACAATGTTACAAAGAGGCATTTTCTGTAGCATAATTGCTATATACATGTATGTATATATATAGCATACAACATGCATATTTACCTGTTCTTGTAAGTCAGCCTGACGATCCTGGTGGTTTCAAACTTGCCGGGTTGCTGCTCTCTCAGGGCCTGTTCCCACTTCGAGATCACATCACACAGCTGAAACAGAAAACGCACAAAGGTGTGAAATCTAGAAGATTTAATACAAGAAACTTTTGATTTTACTTTTGACAAATCAATGTTGTACACGTGTTTAATTTCAATCCAAAATACCTTTACTGATGCCTGCAGGCAGTGTTCTATCTCCCGTCCTGAAGGGTCATCAGTGAAGAGGGCAAACCCAGACAGCGAGCAGTCCCGAGTGCCAATCTCCGTGTTCAACGTCCTCAAGAACTCTTCTATTGTTGTAGAGCCATCAAACCCTACAACCTGGGGATGGAACAGAAAAACCGGTAGAGTACAGACTTGTGACAGAAACTCATAAAAGCCAGCATATGTAGAAGGGGTGTGTGAACTGATGTGTGCCCTAGTGCTGGAGTACTGGGCTGCTGATCATCATGACAAGTAGTAAGTGGTGGGAGGGGGCAGCTCACCTGATATGTGCCGTTGAGGAAGTGTACTGGGATGCTGACAGGGAGTGAGTGGTGGTAGGGGTTCCTCAGCAGGATGGACAGCAGCTCCATGCGGGAGGGCCGGGCCTCTCTGCCACCATTTCTCAACGTCCTCTCCAGCGACCTTTGACAGTACACTGCATACTTCCCCACCTCAGTCCTGAACACAAGCAGAAACAATTGGACTTGCTGTTATATGAGTTCTGTCGGTGACATATCAGCAAGTTGATCTCTCTCACTCATCTTACTTATACGCATTCATTTCAATTTAAACTTTTCTAAGCATACAATAATTTCTTCCACATATTTGATATTCAATCTCTTGGCCCTTTAATATTGTTAGCTTTATCTACAAGAAGATTAAGTCGATAAACTAACTCTGCATCTGTTCATAGCCATGGGCAAGTTCTCTGTGCTACCCATCGCCCTGTCCCATACCACTGATGAATTCGATCTCCCAAAGTAAGGTTTAAACAGCCAAATTTTGTTCAGCCACCCTCCTGTGTGAACAGTTGGAGATCCTGCCCAATGTTGGGTTGGTAAATCCCTCAATATTCCTAGGATTAAAGCTGTTTGTTTTACCCTGTTGCCAATTATTACAAAATGTAGGGCACGAAAATACATGTAAGGGGACAAACTACAGTACCCTGCTCTGAATTAGACATACCGGTAGCATTATAGTTGCAACCTGTGTTATTCATAGGTCAAAGCATAAACAGGTGTAAGATATGTTTTATATACACAAGAAGGAATGCTGATCAGTTTAATCTAATATTCCCTACTTTCTGATAACTTGTTTGTGAAGTGTACAGCCTCAGGACTAGAGGGAAAAGGGTCTCATAATTGTTGGCTAGACACAAAACAAGCTGGTAGAAGGCATATCTTACCTGGGATCAGCGTTGCGGCTGAGGTGTGCCCTGAGGTACCAGAGGAACATGTGCTTGGGCAGGAACAGGGGAATGCACATCGACAACAGCTGCCAGCACTACAGGGCAGGAACATGAGCAACATTAGCAAACACAAGACTCCAGCTAAAACGCCATCACACTAATGAGGAAACACTGATTCAAGGAACGTCTAGTGTACAGACTCTGTTGTCTACTTATCAGCAAGTTGGACAACAGCCAGACAACAAAGAATTTTATATTTTACGTGCATATAGCAAGATATGTTTTTACCTTACTGCTATTGATATTTCAGTACTTATCATTATCTATTATGCTTATGTCAGCATGTAAACATAACAATTATAATGGGTGGGGCTGTTTTTTCCTTTTCTACACTATGTATAGCCATGTTTTTCATTATTAGACACCATAACAGGTACCAGGCAAAGGGAGATAAGCCTAATTCGTTAATACAGACTCCAGCTGGACTTGGTGAAGGGGAATCAAGGTCAACTGCTGACTGCAGGAAATGCCCCTTCATGCCTGTGCACCCGATAACAGGTTTAGACTATGCACCAAAATTAGAAGATCACGGAAATTAGGTCAGATATTTGCAATCTCAACAGTCATTCCATTATTCCCGACCTGGTCATGCCCAAAAGCAAAGGAAATCTGTCTTATCCATGGGAAACACCTGATATTTATAAACTTTTCTCTAAGAATTTGGGTCAAGGTTTGACTTATTTTGAAAACAACCTTGTCCAATACTTCAGACAGCGTGTTGCTTTTACAGCCTTTGACAAAACATGTATGTTGCTCGTCGGGGCCATTACCAGTGGCTGAACTAAGGACATGCAACAAAATAGGGCGTGGCACTAATGGCTGCCATGTAACAGAACTAGGAGGAAGGAGAAGGTTGAGAAATACAAGTCACTGTTGGACGGCACATAGACAAAACAAATTTGATCTGGGAAAGGACTGCTGAAAGGAACACTTAAGTCTGCATCTCCTAGAAACACATTCAAACAAGAGTTCCGAGATCTCATACCTCCATGAAATATGGGCTTGACATGTAAATTTATTCTTTAATCCTGCAAATGACCTCTACATAAACATAATAAATGCATTGTGATGTTAACTTTTTATTAACTTACACATATTCCAAGTATGAAATTCCCATCATTTACCAATAAGGAGTCATAGAATTTTGAGATAAATTATGCAAATTAGGTCTGCATTTGCATAATTGGTATCTGGTGATATTCCTCCTGCCAAAGATTATAAACATTACATGTATCGAAGACCCATGATGTAAAACACTGGAATTACACAATTTCCTCATTAATTATGCAAACGAAGTCATCATTTGCATAATTTGCATCCAATAATGTAGATCTCTGCCTAAGCTACGCACATACCAAAAATGAAGAAAATACATTGTGCCTTTGTGAATTTATCTGCCCTGAAAGATTTCGCCAGAAACCCCCCTGCAGTCCCAGAACAAGCTGCTTATTGCTTATTACTGGCAGGAAAAGCTATCCACCCCGTAAAAATCAAGACCATAGCATGTCCAGGACAAATGATAGAAAAAACTAAAGTTCTGCTGCAGTACCAAGGTCAGCCACCAGGAGGCCCATATTTGACCCTGACCTTTGTCTTTCCAAGACTTTCCAACATACCAAATATCACCACAATCCATAAAGGCGTTCTGAAATTATGCTGACCACAAAGTTGCGGAAACACAGACAGACAGACACACACAGACATACAGACACGCCAAAAACAATACCTCCATTTTTCATGGAGGTAATTACATTACTAGTATACAGAACATAGCATAGATTTGTTAGTCATGTGAAGCTAATCAATACCATAGAATAACACATAGCTTTAAACTGCAGATAACCAGTCATAAAGCTCACACCATTAAGTTGTTTTAGAAGAGCAACTGGTCGTAAGCCGTAAAGTGCACCATGTTATGTGGGGAGATGCCAATGACTATATATGTAGTTTGTGTCCATATCTATGCTGAATGGGGATGTGGCTGTTCTTCACTGGTCAGTTTTATCTGGGAGGAGATGCAGGTTGGGTGCCAGAGTGAGCAATGACAGAGAGTTCGTCGACCTGCAAGGTTGCATTGGCAGGGTGCTGGAGCTTGGTGCCCCCCTGCTGCAGCGTCTGTTTAGGGTGCTGGCGATGGGGGGGTGGACTGGAGGAGTGTTTGGAGGAGTCCGAGGACCGGCCTCTGGTGGCAAGACTGGGACTAGTGGACGAATGAGGAGGTGTGCTCTCACCACTAGTAGAGCCGGAGCCCTTCTGGAGGAGAAGTTAGAAGGAGAGAGAGAAAGAGAAGGGATGGAGAGAAAGAGTAGAGAGAATGATGACAAACATACAGAATGCATGAAGGATCTGTATGGGGGACTGCCTGAAACATTTGTGACTTTGATTGTGAATTGACGGTGAATGGATCCAATTCATGTATATCAAGAGAAAAATATCAACTGACTTCTCATCACCAAGTTTGAATTTCTTCAGAGAAGTATGAACCCTGGTTTGGCAACTTTGGTACTTTTTCAGATGGATCATTCACCTTGCAACATCATTAATTTATTGACTTTGCAATCCCAGATACAGCCTCAGAAGAGAGTTTCACTTCACTGAAATGGTAGAAGGGAATATGGACATGGATGGAGCTGAAAGAACAACAAAGATCACAACACAGTAGCATGCCCAGACCTTCATCACACATCGGACATGCCCATTCCTAATTTTTCCAGTGCACAATGTACTGTTTGAATACTTAATAAATGTGATATGTTCACACTCCAAAGTGTAACATGCTTCACTGGCAGAGTTTGCAGAGGTTTTGAATTTCTAGTGTCTTACAAAATATGCTTTAAATCTATCAAATTGATATTCAACCATTTCAAGACTGGTTTTGACTTTTGGCTGATATGATGTTCTCAACAGCATGGCTACTGTCATCATACAGAAATGTCTCACAAACCAGACCTCATTTTAGAGTTCAAAAACTCCAACTGTTCAGCCCAGTAGTTTCTATCTATCCTTACATGTACTGACTTGTTGGCAATCCAGCATATGTCAACTGGGTGATACCTACTTCAACGAGACATATACAATGTATATCATCACATAATATGAAGAACAGCTGGTAGAGGACATTTTACATTTGGTGATCCTGTTTCACCCATTTCCTGCTAATTTTGCATCTGATACGAGTATCTCTACCTGTATCGAGGCTTGTTGAGGGAACTGAGGTCGTCTGCTGGTCTGCTTGATCAGCTGACAGTAGATCTCATTCTGCAGCTCCGGGTGGGTCAGACACACCTGCAGTGCATTCTGGGCCAACGTGACATGGTAGTCGATAGCCGGAGAGTCCAGAGGAACACTGATGAAGAGTTGACATGACTGTTGCAGGATGGAATGCGAAAGTTAATGGAAAAAGTTGCAAATTTTTTGGATACAGATAAGTAATTGTCACTTATTACACCATGTGAAGAATTATTCATATCATCAGGGCAAGGTTTCATCAATTGCTACAATGTATGTAAGTTAACAAGTACATGAAGAATGACATTGAAATTAATAATCATACAAACTCTCCCGAGATTGAAAACCTTTTAATCTAGCAATGGCAGACATATTGAAGAAAATTAGGAAACCTAATCTCCAATATCAGTAAGCCTCTTAATACAGGAAATGCCAGGCGCTAGTCTGACCACAAAGCCACACCTCTGGCGCTCCCTTGTTTAGAAAACATGCACTGCAATATCAAACCAACTGTAATTCCTGCCAGCTCAGAAGCCTGGGGCAAGGCTACTTCACAGATGTTCCTACACTCCAGTTACCATGTAGGTCACTGACCTGCGAGGGTTTATTTGTCTGAGCCTTAGTAAGCAACTTGACTTACCAAGGACTAAAAACAAGAACCCTTTGTGATAGTGCTCCTAGAGAAGTCGGCATGAAAGTGTGCCGCTAACCACGCCACTTAGGTAACAACATGAACAATGCATCATCCTTGACCAGGTTCTCTAGCTGCAGGGAGAGTTACTCTTTATCTCATGTTTTCTGCTTTGTACACATACTGAAAGCAGGAAACATAAGCAGTATCTAAATCTTGGTGGGAAAGATCAGATATGATTAGGATAGTTGAGACACAAGTCACAAGACCTGGCATTTCCTCTGCCTTGCACAATACATCAATGTAAACTTTTCCACCAACTACAGGACAAGTTGGTGTCTGTTTTTCTTCTGAAGCCAGGAAAGTGTTATTATTTGAACAGAAAGCCCAGAGGCATGATGAAAACCATGATTACACTTTCCTGGCAGTGCCAGCCAGAGAGTCTCCAAGGTAAAGTAGGTCAGGTATGTGATGGGTCTGCAGGCTTGACAGTGAGACCAGCCAAATTGGCTTGTGCAGATGGACATAAAGCAACACAGGTGAAGGCTCTTTCTGTCTTACCTTGAAAAGTTTGACAGCCTCAGTTTGCAAAGCTTCAGACGGTAAGGTGGTTAGGGCTGAGGTGATGCTCTCCTTGCTGTAACACAGGGTCTGGTGCTTCCAGATGTCGCTACCTGTTTGACAACAAAGATGAGGTCATGATTCACTCTAGCAATTCCAAAAGTACCCTACAGGTATATACATTAATATCGCTTAAAAGCAAGAGGCAAGTCTTCAATGATTGAAGATACATACTTTCAGCATCCCTTGTCCACCCATGTGTGAAAAAATTTTCAGAAGATAATATCATACTTATACACAACATACTAGAAGTGACAGACAGATGCAAATCTATGGGGACATAAAATCAAAACAATAACACAACAATGATCATAACTTAATTATTTCATATTAATGATCATTAAAAAAATATTAATGATTGTGGCTATTTGTGAAAGTAATGTAATGACACACAATACATTCTAAGTGTACAATAGGTAAAGGTAGTGGTGTTAAACTCATCTTCTCCTCTGTTCTAAAATACCTTGAACACACCTTTGGGACCAAAATGTTGAGACAAATCCAGGGATTAGTATAATATATCCTACACAAACAGTAAGACACCCTGATGTTGTAAGGAGAATGTGAAGGAGGCAGGGTGACATCCTGGACTTCTCCTGAGGTATGCAGGTGGGGCAGAGTTACAGCCCACCTGGGGGAGAGTGATGAGAGCAGGGGAAACACTACCTCATGGAGGACATACCTTCACTGGACATGCTGCTAGCTATCACCTGTATCATCAGCCAACCACCAGTACCTTCTTTCTACCAGAACCTTCTTTACACTGACTTTCTTTCCTTTTCTTCAATATCTCTTATAATACCAGCATAATATTTTCTCCCAACTTGTTTGAATACGACCTAATGACAGTGAGCAAATTGGTCATTTAGTATAGCTAGATGAAATCTTTTTAAGTCACTGTCAGGTAATATGTCTGTTGCAAGGACACCACTATCAAATGTCAAGTTCTTCCCATTACTTGGTCCATTTAATGTAAAGAATGTGGCACTGACCTAGTCCTTTTAATCTCCTCACACTTTGAAAGGGTCCTGCCAATATGACTGGCAGTGTCAGGTTCCAGGAACTTTCAGGAGAATGACAAATACTAACTTCCCATGCAAAAACATCCAAGTCTTGTAATAACAGGAAAACATACTTCACACCCAGGGGGTAAACCTATGTATGTAGAGGGGATGCCTTTGTTGCTGAAAACTTCATAACAGCTGTTCACTGTTTTCTTTTTAGCAAGGTCAAGTGAAATGTTTAGAAGCAAACATGAATGGCTAACTTCCCTCTCTGAATACTGAAAAGGCCAACAGGATGGTAGAGAGCACAAAAAGGCATTCTTGAAAGAAAAGAATCTGAAAGGTGTCAATGAAATGAGCACAGAAATATATTTGTTTATTTAGATTTACCATTGGACAATGGAGGGGAAGAACAAAACAGGACTGGTGACATAAATCACATTTACAGGTTGTCTCCAATCTAACACTACTCCGAGGTTGGGAAGAGACGCTGCCTTCAAGAGACTGCATGTACCAGGATAATCCTAGAATCCTAGGCACTGTCTTCTAAAGGATGGTTCAGACTTATATCATGTTAACTCAAATGCTATCATGTCTATGTGTTGGATAACAGTGAGGATTACAATGGGTTGTCAAATGTGGGACTTTCCCTTCCATGGGAGAGAAAGTCTTCTGCTTTCACAGCTGGGCTCTGCTCCTCTGCAGAACAAATATCCATGGTAACTACAAAGGTCCCGGCCCATTCTCTGCACGCAGATTCCTGACTGCAATGAGCATATCTCCTGTGACCTAGACTGTCATATTGAAGGTTCCATTTCCTCACAAAGTACAACTGACAATGACAGTAGTTTCAGCCCAAGATAACAAAGAAGTGGTCCACTGGCCATATGCTGGAGGGTGGTGGTGACAGGGGATTAGAGATAGCCAACCTGAAACTGCCCAGGGAAAGGGGAGCTCACTACCATCTGAATTTCTATCCAGGTGAGAAGACCTACTTCACAGAAGACAGACAGGTGTCATGATAGCTACACCCTGCCCAGCATGGGGCCTTCTCTGCAATTGTATATCTGCCGACATGTAAAGGAGCACTTTTGCATCTGCCCTCTTTTTCAAACATTGCTTTGTGAAAACAAAAGTGGAGAAAAAAACGTCAAGTAGTTCCCTGTCAGCCTTCCCCCAGGTCAGCACCACCCACAGACCCCAGGTGTATCATCACCCTAAATAACCAGTACTAGTCTCCCTGGCTCCAAGGTGAGCATTGTGTGCACAGGGATGAATTACAGTGACCTGAATTCCCAGTGTTGCCCATTGTATTGACAACTTCAGCTGATCACCATGTCTAGCCAAGGATGATATAGCTGTGGGTTTTTAAATAGTCCATGCTCTTCCCACGTGTCAGTTGAGGGTAAAAACAACAACAGAATTGAAATTTGATAACTTCTACAGACATCCAATCAAGTCAGTTTATAGTAAAATCATGGCAACTTCTTACGATAACCGATTACAAATGTACAGTTGAATGAATGGCTTCATGGAGAAGTGATTTTACATTTTGGGAAAATAGAGATACAGATCCTGGATTTGTGAGAGAAGTATTCATAAGCACTGCAAAATAACACAATCCTCCAACAACTTCCTTCCAAAAGATGGCATTTGCTGACAGAAACTGGTTCCCTTCCTTCCTAGACTAGCTAACAAACATGTGATTCACTTGGTGCTACCTTATAGTTATACTCTTGTTTTGGATGCTTCTGCCCTTAGAATATTCACAATACTGTTTACCATATATTTCATAGGGCTTGAACAAGGATAAACAGTGAGGCTTGTGCATGTGGCACATCTTATATTGGGAGTAATCTGGGGGAAAGAAGCCTATGAACACATGGATGCCCATTAGCTGAGTAAAGCCTGAAAATTCTTATATACAACAAACACTGTTCAACAGTCCTTTCTATGATTCAAACTTAAGCAACATTTACGATACCTTTGACACTTAAAGCAACAAGCTCTACGTAACATGATAAACGACAATGCCACTTAAGAGTTTGGGGATTCATTTCCTGCATGTGCTTCTACTGTGCAGATGAAGGGTCTTTCATGTACAACTAGAAAGACAAAATACAGCGAAAACAAACCTTAACTTGTTAATTAAACTTTACTGTAAGATACTA